GAAAGAAGAAGCCGGGGCAGAATGTGCACATGTCTGTGAAACAGTGAGCGTACCTGTCTCTGGAACAGTTTCTGTATGTAGGGTCTGAAGTAGTACTGTTTGATGCCTTTGGCCTCCACCACCAGCCCGTCATGCAGCTCACACAGCCTCTCTAACACGCACGGAGGAGGCTCATCCGCTGAAGTGTGACCGTCAGCCCAGTACGAAGCAGGCAGACCTACACGCCAGCACACACACAGTGGGATCTTTATTTCACTCTTCTGCTGTCTCATAAATCTATCCTGGTCGACCACATATGCAAGTGGGCCGTTTTAGCATGTAATGTACACAAAGCTTTGTCTGTGTCAGATGAAACTGAATCTGTGTGGAAAATGAAAGAAGGAACTGAAAGTTCACAGATACACACTCTGGACACACACAAACAGCCAGACATCCATTCCCAATTACACCTGACATTTGTTCTGCCTGTAGCACATAAATATGGTCTGCAACAACAGTAACAGTTGTAGGAATGAGTGAGGCTCTGCTACCTTCACACTCACACACACACACACACACACACACACAAAACCAGTTCTGCACCTTTGAACGCTGGGTTGATGAGGTCCTTCCTGTTGGCGCAGAGCAAAGCGTTGCCGAACACCAGGTCCAGACAGCAGAGCAGCAGGTGGTACGAGTTGACCAGGTCATCACCGATCATACGGAAGTTACCTTCACAAAGATACACAGAGATTTATCACAGCACATACAGTATCACACCAACGTAATCTGTACAAACCAACACGTTAAATAATACTAAGTCCATAACTGTAGACAAACACTACTCCAGGATTCACCCTGTTAAATTCAAGACATTTTAATGCCACACAGAACAGAATTTAACTGTTGCACAGCCACAGTGACCAGCGCACGAAGCATAGTGGAAAACCAGCAGGGACGATGAGCTCTTAAGTTACTGATATCAGTGTTTTCAGTACATCAGTAGTATCAGGGCTCCAGGCTGCGAGTGGTCAGTCGCATTTTGGGACCACATTTATTTATGGTGTGACTGCAAAATAAACATGTTACAAACTGCTCTCACTGTAAAAATAATGGACAGACAATCTCTGCAACACTGCCATCATCACATTTATTTGCACATCTGTCACTCGCCCATCTCACAAGGCAGAGACTCCCAGTCAACGTTTCGATCCACAGCGACTCAGACAGACCCTCGTTTTACACTCCATGTCTAGTTTTCCTTTGGCACGTATGAAGTGTAATCGGCCCAGACAGCTGCTTAAATCAGACAGATCACCTTTCGGCTTGTTTATGTGCTGGAAACTTTTTACTTGAATCTCTTCTGATGGATCAGGCTCCTGGTGTCACTGGGCTTTCTGGTTTTGCTTTTCCCCATCCAAAACAGGGAATTTACTAAAATAAATCAGGACATATAAACACTGCTCATTTCTTGATGATGAGCCTACAAGGAAACAATTTTTCTAAAGTACATTTCTGCTGTCGGCCTGGTGACGACCGTGCTGTCCTCCTGCTGACAGACAACTGTTCTGACGAGAGATGCTGTACGTAGATCAGAGTCGATACCACCGTCAGAGAGACTTGGTGGTACCAGTATGAAATGTTACTCTGGAGCCCTGAGTGTTAACAATGTTTATTTACACAAAAAAATAAATTACATTCATGTAGGTTTTGTTGAAATCTTGACTCCATTTCCGATGACTGTGCCGACTAAAACTCCACACCTGCAGCTCAAATCACTGTCAACATTCTCACTTTTACCTTCATGTGTCTCCTGACGGTTTGAGATTGGTTTTAAAACCTGTTATAAGTAATATTTCATTAAACTCGAGACTTTTTAATACCTTATCAGGTTTTAAAAAAACAAGACCTGCAGATATCCTACAAATTTACCGTAATTTCCAGACTATAAGCCGCTACTTTTTTCATACACTTTGAACCCTGCGGCTTAAACAATGATGCAGCTAATTTATGGATTTTTACGGGCTAACGAGCTTCATGCCACCAATACATTTAGCTTCGTCACATCAGACCAATGAAATTACCGAACAGGTCACAGTGGACCAATGAAACTGTTCGAATTAAATCAAATGCACTCACACTAAATTCTTCAGATCAGTCATTTTGCGCTTCATGCACACACCCTCATCATGGAAAACACACGAAGAAATGCATATGATGCAGCTTTCAAGTTAAAGACAATCGATCTGGCTGTCGAAGAAGGAAATAGAGCTGCTGCATGTAAGCTTGGCATCAATGAATCGATGGTGAGACGTTTGAGACGGCAGCGTGAAGAACTGACTCAATCCAAAAATCTTTGCGTGTACACCTGCAGCTTATAGACAACCACGGCCTACATATGTACAAAATTTTTTTCTTTTTAAATTTAGTGGGTGCGGCTTATATTCAGGTGCGCTCAATAGTCCGGAAATTACGGTAAACATCTACGCTAACTGGTTTCTCGCTGCTCGAGGCTCTGGTTTAGTGTCTCAGTACCTTTGGCATAGACGAACAGAGTCCAGCAGAACTTGAACAAATCGCTGATGTGACAGGGAAGCCGCCTGCAGAGCCAGAGAGAGGACACACACTCCGTTAGTCTTGGTTGTGTGCGTTTGTCTCTCCATCAGAAGTGATTATAACAACAGTGACTAAATGTGACAGAGAGGATCAAATCTTCACACGTGTGTTTCCAGCTTTAGGGCTGGCAGCATGTGTGTGGTCATAAAACTAAAAAGAGACAAATACTGTACTGACAAGAACAACAAAAAAAACCCATCAAGTCTGTGACCACGTAAGCACAAGTGTGTGTCATGCCTGTGTTTCCTGCTGCGCGGCTGCCGTGGTGGCTCGCCCCCCTGTGGGTTCTGGAACATGTCCATGAAGATGGGCTCAAACTTGCGGAAGATCACTGTGGAAACTTCGAAGTTGCGCTCCAACCGCTCAATGCGCAGCCTGAAGTCATGCGACAGGTTGGACATGTCGGCCCACTTCTTCATCTTTGAGAAGAACTGGATCAGGCTGGAGGACGGGAGGGAAGTGTTAGGGGCAACACACAAAAGGTACAACCTCACCACTAAATGTATGTAACAAGGGAACTGGAAGTTTCAGAAAATCACAGAAAATGGTCTTTTGTCTTTGAGCAGGAAAACGGCACGCTCGCTCATGGCTAACACAAACAATCTGCTAATGAAGAAAACAACTGTGCTGCGTTCACTGTCGTGTGAAAATAATGACAGTCACAGTAACAATAATAACAACAATCTGTTGGCAATGATGTCAGGGCTGTGCAAAATGATGATATAAGATCATGTGATGATAGCAAAACGCCTGTTGTTTCACATTATACTCCATGAATCATTTTGTAATGCTGTAAATCACACTTTACAGTAATGCAAACATCAAGGACAGTGAATTCAACCATCAGCTTTCAGTTCACGTCAACAAGTCTTGATCTTCACTGTCAGACATCTAACATTAGAAACTCCAACAAGTCTTTTCACGCCTTCACTGTCAGACATCTCACATTAGAAACTCCAACAAGTCTTTTCAAAGTTTGTGTGGTACACCTGGTGATTTTCCTGATTTCATTTGTACTGTCTCAGAATGCCAGGTGGAGGAGAGCCACCGGTGACTGACCTGAGTTTGGAGGAGCGAAGGATCCTGGTGAGAGAGACACAGTTTCCCTCCATCAGCCCTTTGCCCACTGTGGGTGTGGAGCCCTTCCTGCAGGCTGCATACAGAGCGCAGGCCAGGCAGTGCACCAGCTCCCCCTGTGGAGACACAGCATGTCAACAAGCACCACAGCAACACAGGCAACCTATATCTTCATAAGCAAACAAAAGGTCAAACTTGCAACACTACCAAAAACAAAAGACATTATGATTAAGTCTAGAAGAGAAAACACAGTTGCACGAATAGTTACGGTCAAATTCGTGTCCAACACTTTAAATGTTGCTATAAAAACAAAATAAGATCTCTCAGACCGTGAAGCACATAATCTGACATGAGTTTTAAAAGACAAAACTAAATCAAACTTTCAAGCAAAAATGCCAAATATTTGTGTTGATGTATTTTCTGCTGTTCTCTGTTTCCTATCAATATTAACTAAAGATCAGTTCGGTGTAGACCGTTGTTCTAAACAGGTCATTTCCATGCTACCTTGTGCTCAACTGCAATAGACACTTTTTTTGCAGTTTTTGGACAAAATTATTTATCTGTAATCAGGGAGATTATCTGAAGATGAACTGATAATCAAAACAAATTAAAAAAAATAGTTGCAGCCAGACACAGTCAGTTACAGTAAAATTATTAGTACCTTGTTTTAGAACCACTTAGTTACCATATAACAAACATATCTGACCTGGTTTGCACTTGTACTTGTTTGTACTAACTCTCTTCTAAACTCTATTATTAGTCCTGGCTACTAGGAAACAGAAAATACAAGAGCTGCAACTAATGAGTCTTTTCATTACTGAATAATCTGTTGATTATTTTCTCAATTAATTTTGTCTATAAAATGACAATAGTCGTTTTTTAATCGTCTGTTGTAATTTAGAAACAGCCCAACACAGCATCTTCAGACATCTAGTTTGGTTACTTAAAAATGACTAAAACTATTATTTGAATGTCAGTGATTTTCGAATAGTCATTAAATACAAAAATCGCACATTTCATGTGACTATGCTTTGGTCTTTAACGCCCTGCTTTTATCAGCGCCTGGAAATAACGATAAGAAGGTCAGAATATCATGTTACTGCAGCGCCAGATGCAAACAAGACAAACTGTCACGGCACAGCTGGATAAACTGTGATGAAGATGATGATGATGATGATGATGCATGTGAGCTGTGCAGTCGTTTGTGTTGAAGACGCGTCTGTGACCGCGGCTGCACGGGACAGTTTGTGCGTGTTCCAACTGAATCTTATGTGACAGTCACCTGCATGACAGCTTGTATAATGACAAGCTCTTCAGGCTAAAGCGATGCCGGAGCAGTAAACTGCTGCCAGATGTGTGTCCACCGCCGCGGAGCCCTGAGGACTTACAGCAAAGTCATAGCATGTGTTACAGTGAAGACACGTTTCATCCTGCCACCACAGAGACCAATGAGATGTTATGACTATTCAGTCTATTGCAGAATGACACAGAACCAAAGCAGCTTTTAGCAGGTGGAGGCAGCGTGTGGCCATATTGTCAGCCGGTCTCTTCAAAACACCGTGTATTACCTTGTTATTTACCATTTCTAGTTAGTTGTATCTTAGTTCACCTCATTTTTTAATACCATTCGACCACAGCCCTGAAACATTTGTATATCGATTTCCCAAGGTCAGCTCCTTTACAACTTTGTTTTGAATGTACAAACCAAACACTTATACAATTAATCGATTAGCTGAATGACACAAAGATAATAGGCAAAATTACTCTAATAACCACTTCCTCCATTAACCCATTTGTAAAGTAAAACTACTCTGCGTGCTTTATTTAAGTGTAAGGCGAATACGTTATTCTTTAGAAGTCTGCTAATCAAACAATGATAGTCAGTGGTTGAAGCCCGCTTATTCCGCGTTTGTGTCCCGGACTGCGTTGAAGCTTAGTTCAACTGGTAAAACGATGATAGTTAATCATATTGCAAAGCCTGTGTCAGCGGGTGTGAGTTTAGCTGCAGGCTGGTTGATTAAAGAGACACCGAGGACATTATTTACCTCCAGTGTGTAAGTATTCCATATGGCAGTGAAGTTCTCCATGGCTTCAGTTGCCGTCTGCCCGTCCATGTTCAACTCCTGACACAAGGTCTCCAAACTCCTCCGGACTGAACTTTCCTCCATCCTCCCCGACTCCGAATCCGACGACTCTTCGCCCCGCATTCGTAGAAACTTACACTCACAGTTTCAGCGAAGTTTTAAAATCCCCTGCAGTTAAACCCTGATGACCAAAACACGAGAACACCCTGCCCACATAGACACAAACAACCGGCAGACTTCCGCTTACTATGCCCACAATGCATCGCGTTGGCGCGAAAACTTCAGGTCAGGGACCAATCAGAGGCGGCCGTGAGGTCTACTCTCTCAACCCCCTTCTCGGGTCTCGTTTTTTTTGTTTTTTTTTTCCTTCTCGGGTCTCGTGCTCAAGAGTACCTGGCTGCTATAAACACACCACTAGGGGGCGATGTTAAGCCATGTAGTTTGCTCCATTGGCACGTTAACAGTATCTCTACTTCGTACATGGGTATTTCCATTTTATGTTAATATATATGATCAAACAGATATCAAACAGTAGACCTATACATTGTAGTATTAATAAAGTACTCGTGAATGTATCGGTAATTATAGTACATTTATATAAATTATTCGTAAATGGGCCATCCTACATAACGAGCACTTCTCGGTAGTTTACATATATTTTGACGTTTATGCCTTTGTAAAATTCAGTGCAGATGTGTTACTCCTAACAGAGTATTACTTCTTCCACCACAGCTCTGAGCACTTATATTATGTAAAAACTGTTATCTGTTTGAATGTTTTTATAACAGTTATGCCATTGCAAGATCCATTTTGGAGTCACCCAAGATCATTAAATGTGTTTTTAACTAATTTCGCTGATTCAAATGACACAAACATATCTAACATATTAAGTATACCAAAATTGGATGTATGGATATGAGACAGAAGACTAATATGAAAACGATTATAGCTCCAAAGTGTTGATATGAAAAAGCTGGTACTCTTAAATGAACACATCTGAGTAGCAGTTGTCATCTTTTTTCATGTTTTTATTTTGAAATTATTATGAGTTAGTTGCTTGTTGCCTCTGCAGTTTTCTTTGAAATAGTTTTAAAAGGCAGAAACTAAAAACACTCCAGAGCCTGTTTGCTCATTTTACTCTGAAAATCCAAGCAGAGAAGTAACCAGTGACCACAGCTCTATCAAGGTTTGAGGTTCACCTAATATACTAAGCAAATTTCCAGTTCTCAGTTAAAGAAACAAAACAAACAAACCAACTGCATGATTAAACCACAAGTAGACCTCTTACAGGATATGGCTACAATGATTTGCAGTACTACACTATGTTTATATTCTTATGATCTCAGCACAAACAACACAGCAGTCTACTACAGTGTTTGTTTGTGTTTGTTGGGTCCAACTAAAGTCTGAGTGACGGTCAAACTCAACCTGACACACTACAGCAAAACACTAAAATGTTTATATTGTGTAAATTCCCAGCACTATTTCCACAGTTACATGTACAGATGTTGGTAAAGGTTAGTAATCACATGCTCCACCTGCACCTTCATGGAGACAGCTGTTAGAACAGGCTTATTGACTGAGTGGTGCATGATGCATGCGTGTGTGTGTGTGTCCTCTCAGTGAGTACTGTATTTGGCTTTGTGTCTGGTCTCAGTGGTCTTTATCAGCAGTTTTGGAGCAGGAGAGCTGGAGGTGGTGTGGTAGCCATTACTACTTTTAGTACCTGCAGGGACAGAGAGACAGTGAGGGAGTAAAAGAGGAGGCAGAGGAAAAGAAAGACAAGAGGATGTGAACGACACAGAGAAACAGTGACATAGAGATTTAGTGAAGTTTTAACATCAGTGAAAACTGCAGAACAAACAGGAAACCACATGACTATGTTAAAGTGGATGTTTAAATGGTCAAAGGTCGTTAAACTCTCTACACTGTAGGGGTAGAACACTAATGTCTTTCTATAATTCTCTGTCAATTGCTAAAACACAGTTTAATGGTTAACTTTTTTTTTTAAGTACCACAAGTGATCGTGGCAGCAGCAGAGACACAGAATGTGATTTAACATGAGATGGATCCTCTGCTTTTTGGTATTGATCCTGCTGACGTTAATATCAATTAGCAGACCAGCTAACGATTATTGTCATGAATAGTTATTCTGCAAAAAATGTTTTCATTTAACTGATTAGTTGTTTGCTCTGCAGTGTGTCTGAAAATATTGAACAATGACTGGAATGACTTAAGCCCAAAGTGACATCTACCAATGTCTGGCTTTGTACAAAGTTCACTATCATGTGAGACAAAGAAAACCATCAAATCAGCTTGTGTGGTGGTTATGGAAAGGTGTTGAAGTCCTTTATTTGTGCTCCACTGCCTCCTCTAGCTGAGTTAGTTACTCACTGTAGTTGGAGATGGCCTGGATGCTGAGGATGGACTGTTGTCCAAGTCTGCAGGAGAAGAGACAGAGGTTAGTTGTTGTATCAGAGACACAGGCATAATCCTGCCTCCAGTTCTTCTTCTCTGCCCTCCTCACCTGTCTTCCTCTCCTTCCAGCAGCTTCCTGTAGGTGGCGATCTCAATGTCCAGAGCCAGTTTCAGGTTCATCAGGTCCTGCAGGTGAAGATGAAAATGGCAGGAAAGATTTTTGGATCAGTGTTAGTCCAGACAACTGAAGACCAGTGGAAAGAAATACTGTAATTTTTATCTCTCAGCCTTTAGATAGTACTCTAGTTTCTTTGCAGATCCAAATTAACAATAATACTAAACATAATAAACAAATTCATTATGACGTATTAATATAGGTTAAGAAAATACTTTCCAATCTCCAGCAGTTTGTAAAGTAAATTAAATTTAGCCACACCTTTATCAGCTGCAACATGACGGTGATGCACACATTAATGCTTCACTTTCTACAATATGCTGCCAAACACAGAGCATTTTTACAATATGCTCCTTCCTGTCTGTTCTCTTTGTCTCTGTCCCGTCCACCCAGGCCGTCTCCTCACTCGCCTGATACTCTCGCAGCTGTCTGGCCATGTCTTGCTTGGCCCTCTGCAGTGCATCTTCCAAGTCTCTGGTCCGGGCTTTGGCTTCTTTCACGGCCAGCTCTCCACGCTCCTCAGCCTCGGCCAGCTGGTTCTCCAGACTAGCACGCTGAGGGTGGAGACAGGGAAAGACGTCATCCATGATGGATCTGAATCATCTGGAAAACCTCTCCTACTAGGCTGAATATTGCCTGTAAGTGTACCTGAGCTTTGACAGCTTCAATCTCACTCTGCAGTCGGCTGATAAGCCGGTTCACCTCGCCCAACTCTGCCTTCACATTGCGGAGCTCGTCTCCAAACTGGCTGGCCTGCACTGACATCTGGTCAAACTACAGACAGAAAGACACCAGGCATCATCTGCAGAGAGCTGCTTTGAATGGAGGGCCAGCCCATAAAACCAATTTATTTTACTATACAATTATGGTAAATGGACTGTATTTTATATAGCGCTTTCTCACAGTGTGTTGCACTGGCCAAAGCGCTTTACAGAGATGATACACCATTCACCGATTCACACACAACATAAATCTCACAGACTGATATTTGCTAATACTACCCAAGGTAAGTGTCAAAAGTCACTGCTAACTCCATCTTCTTCTGTGGTGTAAATCAACATTCAGTTTTTTAAGTGCAATGCAGAGTATTTCCATTTTATACTACAATTGCACTATAAAAGGAAATGTACATTTTGTTGCCTTTTAGATCCATATTGATTTGCATTTAACACATATGATGAGCGTGTAAAACACAATGTGTTCCTACAGAGGAAACTACCCAACGGTAACTGTATGACCAACTACAACATTATTAATATAAGACTGTATAACACTGATTGCATGACAAGTGCTTTTCCTTCTGAGCACATCTTGTTGATAATACTTCTATACTTATTTTTAAAGTGTGGTAAGAAAATGATTTGACCACTTTTTCCACCACTGATCTTACCTGATCTGATCTCACTGATCTTTAAATGTCACAGTCTAAGCTAAGTCTCTTTGTGTTTGTTTAAGGCAGATTTCTCTGGCAAATAACAATTTGTGACATTTTGTTGAGAGATATGAAATCAGAAGGCTCAACACGTGATGTCTCAGCACACACCATGATTAGTGTGGTTTCCCTGGGTAGATGTACTCAGGACTGTCCCGTCTCCTCGTCCTCACCTTGTTCTTGTACCAGGCCTCCGCCTCCTCTCGGCTGCGGGCTGCGATCTCTTCATACTGCACCTTGACCTCAGCGACGATCTGCTCCATGTTCAGGCTGCGACTGTTGTCCATCTGCACCACCACTGACGTGTCTTTGATACTGGCCTGCAGCTCGCGCAGCTCCTGCTCAGGGTTTAGGGAACAAAATACAAGTGAGAGGTGATATAACGCTGAAGCAGTCAACCTGTGTTTCCACCAGTGATGAAGCGAATATACAGTATATAACATTTTACCACAGTACAGGGTCATTTCTAGACATCTCCAAATTGGATGATACTGTATTTTAAAAGATATATTAACATAACTGAGCAACAACACCACAGAAAGAAGCTTCTGGGGGACACTCTTCTTCTTCTTTTGGCTGCTCCCGTTAGGGGTCACCACAGCGAATCATCAGTTGCCACCCAACTGATGATTCGCATGCTAAACTTGGCATGTTTCACACCGGATGCCCTTCTGGATTAAGTTTAATTTAGAGTCGCCAGTCAACCTAACCTGCATGTCTTTGGACTGTGGGAGGAAACCGGAGTACCTGGAAAGAACCCACGTAGGCACAGGGGGTCATGGGGGGGGGGAACTAATAACACTAATCAGCATAAGAGTTGCATGTGAATATTATCAGTGTCAGAATCAGAATACATATTGTGCCATTAAACTCTTTAGTGGATACTGTAATTTTTGTTGTTAAATAAACAACAGAGGTTTCCAAGTAGCCTGAGAAATTAGGAAACAGCAACAACAAACATTTCCACTGGCTGATATAAAAAACTTCAGAGGCTGCTAACATTTGAAGTCGATTCTTCAGTGATTCATGCCAGGAAGACAAAACAATGCATCAAAGCAACGTGTGATTTTAATAGTAACACCAGACGGTAAAGTGCTCAGATAAAAACAAAAAGGAAGATGACTGTTTCAATAAACCGCCTCAACATTTCAGAGGATGAATGTCTCTACCTCCTCATAGATGCTGCGCAGGAGGTTGATTTCATCAGTCAGAGCTCCCACCTTATCCTCCAGGTCTGCCTTCACCAGGTAGGCTGAGTCTACATCCTGGATACACAGAAACAAAGATGCAGAAACTAAACAAGACATGAGGGGAACATGAATACCGAACCAATTATCATGCCAATCGTTGAGTCATTTTACTCAAAACCACAACTTGGAACCTCATGGTGGCGCTAGAGTGGGAGACCACCAATTAGGTGGACACACCATGAGTGTGTGTGTTGTGGCAATCCATTCAATAGCTGATGAGATCATTCAAACCAATGACCAGCAGACTGACATATGTTTAGAGCAAAGTTTTGCCTTTATTTTATACACCTCAAGCCATGACAGTTGTCCAACCTGAAGCTGGGCCATGAAACCAGATTCTTGAAAGTCCTAGGAAGTTACAGGTTTGTTACAGAGCTGGTAAACAGCCAGAGCATCTTTTGTAGACTCCAGCTGTTGGTCCAATGTGATGCTGACAAGGCTAAAGTTGCCAAGGCATTTACAGGTTTAGATGCATGTGGGGTTGTAGAAACACACAGAGAGAGGGGGGAGACAACAAGGACAGTGTAAAAGCACAATAGAGTGGATCATCTTACTCACCACACCTGTGATGTATAAATCACTATGAGTGGATGTGTGCGCATTCTGACCTTCTTTAGGATAACAAAGTCGTTCTCCAGTTTGTTTCTCTTGTTAATCTCATCCTCATATCTATGGCAGACAAAGAGCAGTGGGATGGAGGCGGTCTATTATTACATGCACATTTGGATGTGACAGAATCCAGGTATCAGCTTTCTTCTACAGTCAGCAACATTGTTTACTTGTGTTTGTAGTCCTCCACCAGGCCCTGCATGTTCCTCAGCTCTCCATCCAGTTTGCTCTTGTCGTTGTTGACCAGATCCATCTGACGCCTCAGACCCGCCATGTAGGCCTCGTACATGGGCTCCACGTTAGATCGGTTCACCCCTTGACCCTGCAGCAGCTCCAGTTTGGTCACCAGCATCTTATTCTGCTGCTCCAGGAAACGTACCTGGGTCAGGGAGGTGGGACAGGATAGGGACAGATGGTGTAGTTAGAGGGTTTTCAGGTGTCTTCTGACTTCATATTAGAGGTTCTGGCATGAAGCATCTGATCAAGTTTGTGTTTACACGGTGTCATGTTGTTAGCTTGCTAATCATAGTTTCTGATCAAATAACGATCTCTGTCTTTGATTAAACATTTCACTTAGCAATAGGAAGGGCGACCATTCAGCTTCAAGTGGTTTCAACTACTCTGTTAGCAAACAGTTGCTCTGTTTCTGAAACAAAGAAACACAGAGATCCCTGTGGGGTCCACTTCTGAATATGTTCTGCCCTTTAGCTCCAGGAAGTCCTGAACAGATGTGGCTCGCTTCGATCTGCTAAATGCTGAAATGACTTTAATCACAATTTGTTTACTCTCTGCAATTCCTAGCACAAGAGCTAACACAAGCTAACTGTACACTAGCAGGGAGCATACATACACTTAGCTTCTGTTAGCTCTCGTGCTAGGAACAGCTGCGTACAGTTTTCCAGGAATTAGCATTGAGCACAATGTAGGCCTATATCATACAGATCCACAGTGTTGATTCTTGGTGGTAAAGATAGCTAATAATACACTTAACTGTACGTTTCTTGATTTAATGCTAAATAAATGTTTTAACATTTTGGAAAAGAAACTTATGCTCTGCTTATGCTTACATACATATATGAATACATGAAGACAGGTACCACTGTCATGTCTACACAGTAATATAAAGTTAGCAACCATTAGCTTAGCTTAGCACAAAGGCAGGAAACTGATTAAATAAATAGATAAAAATGTATTCCCCAACCATATGATTGTGTTATTTAGTCAGTGAACAACTCTCAAAGCAATCACTTTTCTCATGTAAACTTTGTGGACAATTGATTAGAAAAGATGGTGAAAGATTTTGCAAAAGAGATTTCATATGATTGATGTTGTGCTAATGTGACATTTGGTTTATTTCAGTCAATGACTTAGAGCTACTGACAGTTTGTCAGTTAACAAGCTGAGCAACTGAGAATGAAAGTGCTTGGATAATTGATTAATTTGCCTATTTTTAAGTACAAATGCCCAAATCTCCTGTGTTTTTGACCAAATAGCTAATTGATAATGAAAATAATTGTTTGTTGTGGTTGCTTTGGAAAGCTCCGGTTCACTCCAGCAAATAAGCAGCTCGAGCTCCGTGTCAACACCTGAGTGTCTCCGCACAGCTCGTGTTTCCTGCCTGCAGCCGGGTAAATCCAGCCCATTATACCTTCTCCTTCAACACAAAGCCTGTGTCCTGGACACAATAGCATGAGCTCCCTGTGGGACACAGCCACACTGTGACCTGATTCCTCAGGTTACAGCCCAGCTCGCTGGTTCTGAAAGGGAAAAGGCAGCTTAAATATCCAGTGGCCCAAAACCACCAGTGACTCAGGGTTTTAAATCCCAAATGCATTCACTGAGCTTTTGGTTCTTTTTTAAAGATTTTAAGTCTCTGTGGTACAATTCAGATTTACAGTAAGTGGGGATCATTTCATTAATATTCAACATCGCATTTACATTTGTTATCACATATCTCACTGAAATATAAACTGGGTCATCATCCTGCAGCAAATAAAACTCTGTCTGCCTGTTGCTTTGCACTAATTACATCTCTGCATGAGGAAGCGGCTCTTTAATGTTTCAGTGCTGGGCCAGGTGGGGTTGGATTACGTGGGTAATGGCAGGGCCAGTTGATTAATCAGCTGACTTGGCTTTGTCTCTTTACATATGGCTGCAGAGTAGAGAAAGTGTCTCAGAGCCACATGTCCAAAACTCAAACTCATGGGAAATGATTCTCAAAAACAAACTGCTTTCTTCTGTTTAATAAACTCTTGTCCTAATGAGGCTGCACCAAACACTATCAGTGAATCAGCAGCACACATCCTGGATCAGTGATCACAAGATATAAGAAAAGGAGCCCAGTTTTCTAGCACAGACCAGGTTAATTATGGACATTTGGACAAATGGACATCCATCCAGCACAGCACTTTCAGTGCCTGAAGTGTATCCCTGCTGATGTGACAAGCCAACAAAGCCTCTATTGTGATGGTGTGTTACCGACTCCGTGAGAAAGCGGAGACGTTCCCTAAGTGGAGTATCAATGTCCAACATTATCACAGAGCTGCTCGCTGCTTCTGTGGGAAACGTGTGCAGCCCATGTTCATCAACAGCCTCAGCACAGCTACTACTCCAATTTACTGAAGCAGAATCGATTAATCGTTGGTGTATAACGGGTCAGAAAAGAATGAAAAATCGAAATGTTCTCAACAATCACGTTTTCTAAAGCCCAAGGTGACATCACTTCTTCAGGCCCAGGCTAATTAAGGTTTTCACTCTACAGTATAAAACAGGAAAAAGCAGCAAATCCTCATTTTAGAAGCTTCTCAGTTACCAAAACTGTTTCTGATGAATTCTCTGTACTGATCATTCGACTCAGCTCTAGTCTCTTTACCTTGTCTATGAAGCTTGCGAAGCGGTTGTTGAGGCTCTTGATCTGCTCCTTCTCGTGGGCTCGGCTCATGGACAGGTTGGGGTCGATCTCCAGGTTGAGGGGGGCCAGCAGGCTCTTGTTGACCGACACCGACGCCAGCGGGGCACCGTGATGATACCCGTTGCTGCCTGTGTACAGAGAGCTGCTGCTCAGGGAGATGCCGCTGAAGCCCCCCAGACCTGGACCAAAACCGTTCAGCCTCCTCGACCCGCCGCTGGTCCGGACAGAGTTACTGGAGCTGATTCTCTTGGTACGGCTCAGACTCATGGTCGACAGAGATGGAGGGATGCAGAGGTGGTGAGACCAAACGATGGAGATATGAATAGAAAGGATGGAGAGAATAGGAAGGAAACAAGGTGCTTACAATAAAATGCAGATTAATAAAGATGAAGATACAAAACTATTAAAACAGAGGACTTGCAGAAAAGAGAAATTAATGGCCGAGTCAAAGAGCGAATGAAATGGAGAAGCAAAGAAAAGTGAAACAGGTGAGTGTGAGCTGTCTGACCATAGTGAGGCTTCTCAGGTGTCCAGCACCTTTTTAAACCTGCTCCGGGTGGAGTCGGTCAAGGAGGAGGGGAACTGTGGTGTCGCATATCCACAGATTTTTATGGAATAATGTGGGGAAATAAGTCTGCTGGTCATTTTCTGTTTGCTGATGAAAACACACAGGCTATTTTATTTTATATGGTTTTATTTTTTCACACTTTGATTATTACTTCACAGAACTCAGCTGTGAACAGTTTATCTTGAACATCTGTTTCCATTCCTTCTCTTGGCTGCTGTGCTGGACGCGGCTGAGGACTGTCCTCTCTTCAAATTCTTCTTCTGAGGTCCTGTTGATTCATATTGACATGAGAACAGAAATAAAACTGTGCTCCACAATAGAACACTGTAACACACATATACTTTTAATTTATTGCTGTAGGTTTTGTATTCCAGTTAAGCCTATTTAAATAAGTAGCAACTAATCACAGTTAAATTAAATTTAACTGAACTGGGGTCACCGGGTGAGATTTGGGATGAAATCAGTCTTAAAAAGAGCTGAAATCATAGCAAAATACATTTTTATTAAGAGTTACAATCTGCAAAAAGGGACAAAGTGAACTCTAACAAATACAATATTCACAGTGTGTGAAAAACAAGATGCTACCTTTCTTCTGAGTCTTCAGCTCCACCTCCACAGGGTAGTGGTCGCTGATTCTCAGGGCCTTGCAAAGTAAAGAAAGCCATTGTGAACAGCACCATGGTGGCAACGAGTCGGATATTGTTTGACTTTACCAAGTATGGGTGTACTGTATATGGCACTAGTAAAAGGCTTCAAGTCTTACATTTTTCTTACTCAGTCTGAACGCTCTCTGGAAGTTGAACGGCTTGGCTGATTTGGGGACAGTGCCATTCAGCATGGTCTTTCCATACACCACGATCCTGTTGGCAGAAAATCCATCTCAATCTTTAAAAACAACAAACAGGACGAACATCCACTCAGATAGCTGTGCTAGCATGTGTCACCTGTCGTAGGTGTGGTCATTACTGTTACTAGCAGTGGTGTCAACATCGTCATCTATCAGCCAGTGATAGCAAGGTGAGCAGATGCGGATCATTTTCTTCTCCTTCTTGGACAGGTAACGTCCATCTGCATTAAAGTCCCCCAAAATGATGATGTTCTGCAAAAGAAAGACCACAAACAAATCAAACATGAAACTGTTGCACAGATGTTTCTAACTACAGCTGGTTTAGTAACAGGAAGCTGCGACTGCCTACAGTTGGTTTATCTTTGATTCTTGGTCCTTGTTACTGTTTTCACTGTTGCTTTCTTTCTTCTTTCAAGGAAGTGTAAATTGTAAAATGATATTTTATTTTTGTTGTTGTGATAACTGCATTCTTTCTGAAAACAGTGACAAGATATGTTTAATAAAAAAAACATTCAAAGAGCATTGTACCAAGTTTGAAAGATAAGATGATAAATGGTCTGTTACAGTGCTTCTCTAGGTGTTGATGCATATTCAGAGTTCTTAACCCTACCTTCCATTCACCCATACAAGCACTCACACACCTGTGACATCACCACGAGCAGCTAGGGGCTCAGTGTCTTGCTCAAGGACATTTAAACATGTGGACTAGAGAAGCCAGGGATTGAACCGACCAACCCTACGGTTAGGAGACAACCCACTCTACCTCCTGCCCCGTAAGAGAACAAACCCTGCTGCTGTGGATGAAACACCCCTGATTCTCTCAATGCATCAAGTGCCTCCAGTTGTAAAGAGATTGTAGACAAATGAAACAGTCCAACACATCAGGTTCTGCCTTCTTATCACACTCACAGCAGCATTTACATGTGTGTATCAAATGCAGAACAGCATCTGACAAGAGGCAGAGAGCAGAGCAGTGTCTGCAGTGTTTTAAATGACAAAATACTGCAGAAACACATCAGTGTGGACCAAACAGTGGTGCACCGCTCCCCAACTGTACCACTGAAATTAATGTTAGGACCTTTGTTGTTGTATTGCAGTTAAAAGGAAAGAAATTCAGTTAGCTTTACCCTCAGATGTTTGTTTTATGTGGCCTTTTCTTACAGAATAAAACTGTCAAACCTACTTTAATTCCCCATCGCTCCTTGATGAATTCAACCACGTCATGCAGCTCGTCCAGCTCCTTCCAAGCGTCCTGTGGCTTGGTGTGGACCGGGATCAGGACCATGTCTTTCACAACTGGAATAAAACCCAGGTTCACTGCACAGAGACTGAAGCATTCAGACATAAACACATACTGTACATCATAGAAACACATGCAGCACATACCTGCAGTTGAACAGTTGAAGTGCAGGATGAAGGGTTCTCTGGCGAAGGCGTCTTCATCTCCAGCCTGATCATCTTCATACTGGTACTGGTCTACCAGTGTCACCTCATTCTCTCTGACACATATAGAAACACACAAGTGTAATAAGGTTTTGCTGTTTGTGTGCGTCCTACATGATGTCACCTTCAGGACAGAGGACTACATCAATGATGAAGTGACTCAGATTAAATTTTTCTCTCCCAGTGACTCAGATGTGATGTCACCAAACCAGGTGGCCTCAGATCAGCTCCAGGCCACCTGCATATGTGCTCCTAGACCCGATTCCTCTCTGACCTCATGTCAGAATCCATGTGGTTGTTTTAACGTCTCTTCCTCTGCACATATGGCCTGTCATCATCATTTGGCGTCAACCCCTCACAGACCGGTAACAATAAACACGGAGGAGAGCGACGACGGTGACGGGGTCAATGGAGAGACCAGGACATTTCCCATGTGGTGGACATTTATGGAGAAACCTCTGATCAGGCCAAACTGGAAGGAACATATTGTAACCCAGCGGTTTGGAAGGAACTGGGCCGTTTCATGTCGCACACATGATGGATGTTAATTTTACCAGCATCCTTCTGTCCGCCACCTCCTCAATGGAATCCAGAGAGCAGCCCAGGACAGAACCAGCTCTCTTAACCAGCTTGCTGAGTCTCTTTCTGTCCCTGTCCGTGCTACCTCCCGCCCAACCCACAACAACGTAAAAAACAGCAGATGCCACCACAGTATCATAAAAAGTTCGAAGGAGTGCCCCCTGCACACCAAAGGACCTCAGTCTCCTCAACAAGTGGAGGCGGCTCTGGCCCTTCTTGTACAGGGCATCAGTGTTTTCAGTAAATCTGTGGATGTGTGGCAGTTTAGGAGTTCAGCAGTGTTCACACTGGAGCCAGGTACGGCACTGACACACATGGATGTGAAGCATCAACACAAAAAGAATAGACCTGACTGAAACATCAAAACTGAACATTCAGGCCTGTGGCGTGAACATGGCCTTAGTGTAGCTAAACTCACTGAAGCTCTTCAGTACATGTCACTGCTGTGACCTGCTCCTTCCACAGTGTTATAAACACCAGAACACTGTTGTAACTGGGATAAATTTCATCTTAAACAGTTTATTACAGTTTAAATGATAATGATTTCATAGTGAGCCAATGATTCATGTGAAGCTGGACATGAGCCTTTCTCACCTGTAGAAACAAACAAACTTCTCCTTGTAGGTGCCTCGTCCCAGCTCGGGGCTACAGATCTTATTGTAGTCATGGCTTCTAGTTGGTGGGGAAGGAAGCAGAACCAACACAAAATGAAGCTGTGCTTAAGTTAGATGAAGTTTGTGTGTATCTCAGTATTACTGAAGACCCACTGAGCCTGATGTTTGACTCCATTCATTTTCTGTAGGACACAGTACACTACTTCACAAGGCATTGTGGGATTCCAGGTGACACAAAGTGACCAAAGATGAGGGGTAAAATTTAAAACACAGCCTTTTGGGTCCGGTTGAATTTTAGCCAAACTGTCAGTTCTATTTTAATATTGAATTTAAAGCTCTGCTGTGCTGATTAATAACATAATTAGAGGAGATACTGTATTTGGTCAAATGTTTCTGTTGTTATCACATCATATATATTTAAATATTTAAAGCTACTCTACCTACCACACCATTTCCTAGCAACAACTGTGAACTACAGACAAACTGTACAGCCTCCAGTCTGAAGCTAGCGTTAGCTGGATAACAGTAAACATGTCAGTCCAGTAGAAGCTCTGGTTACTGCTGATGTGACACAAAGCACTGACGTTACACAAAGCTCCAATTGCTTACAAATTAAAATCATATTAATTCAACACAAAGGTAAAATGTTTTACATGTGTTATAACACAGAGCAGAAAACTCACCCATTGCTGTTGAGCTCATCAAGTAGTATGTTCATGGCATCATCATCTTTATCCACCACCTCCAGTACCACCACCACACTGTACCGGGATAAGATCTGGAGGAAGCAGTCAACACAACATGTCATTATTAACATTGGCGTTGTTGCACTTTTTGACCTTTCACTGACCTAAAAAGTGTTATAAATATTATCAAGGACTTACCTTGACAAGGTAGCGCATGACAAACTCGTCATTGACCTTCTTCATTCCCAGCTTCTTGGCATTGAAGGCTGCGATCTTCATCTTGACTCTGTTTTGAAAGAAGTATGATTAAGTATTTTAGTTGATGAATATAGAAGACACATCGTTTATAGTGTGGAAAAACAAAAAGACAGAGGAAACAACAGTATACAGATGCAGAAAAATAAGAAACTGAGGTAGACAAAGTGTCAGAAACTAAGAAATGAATGCTTAAAAAAAAAAAGAACTGCGGTTGATGGTTTCAGTGGAATCGAACACGTCAGCTGCCACTGACTCACAGCTCCAAGCTACAGCGTGCAGCACTGACACAACTATTTGTGAAGTTAACCTGAAGTGAAAAACAAATCATGTACAAAACATTTTAATATCTATTGTTTAACTGAACTAAATTTGATTCAGAGGACGTATTATGTGACAGTTCCTTCCACATACACTTTCAGCTCCAAACATCATTTAGAATTGATAAAAATTTAACCAACAGTAAATAGGACAAAATCACAATGCACCGAACATGTTTCACCTGTCTTCAAGTATTTTAATATTGTTGCCTGTTTGACTGTAAGAAGTTAAGAGTTTATTCTTCTATAAAAGTAACATTATTACTCATATATTACTACCATATTACTACATATGTAACAAGTACAATATATCTCTGTATAATGAAGTAGAACTATAGAGTAGGATAAAAAGGAAATACTCAAAATGCACAGTACATCAGTATATGACGCTCCAGACTTTCATTCAGTTCTCAGGGATTTTATACACTTCTTCAAATGACACCTTTAAATCTTTGAATACACATTGTAATAGGATGAACTATGACTTTTTGGAAAACACAACCTGTGTTGGAGTTTCCATAATATTCAGATTTTAACAGCGACAACTTGTCAAGCTACTGTCACTGACCATGTCAGTGTCATATCAACATGATAGAAAACATTTTGTCAACAATGACGCAGCTTTTTATTTTCATTATGCATCCTTTAAATTGATACTGAAGAAGTATTATTCTTTCAACAAGCATTCTCAGCTAACGTTAAATACCGACACAGTTGAAAGAGGTTTCCCGCCAAATCTTACCAGGTTTCTTCAGGTGTAAAATGCCAAGTCGACTTGGTGATTCAGTAGTTACCAGTGCAACTGCTGCAGAGATCTTAGTTCAGAAAAGTAGGAAAGTAAAACAAATAGAGTAAAAACTCACTAGTTGTGCTGAAATAAGCAACAAGTTCAACAGTGAAAGGCAGCAGCAGTTACTGTACCAGCAGACAGAGACTGAACCCTCAGTATAAAGAACAACCGTAAGAAACTGGAACCAAAGGAAGCATCAGCCACAAAACGCACACTCAGTGTACACAGATGTGTGCAAACAATACCACACCTACTCAATTTATCAGGGCCAGTTTCCCGCCTGTTCAGTGTTTTGGCGCTCTGTGGCTTCCAAAGCGGGAAAGAAGAGATTAGTCATCAAAATTAAAATTCATTGCTTCATGAGGAAACGGCTTTTTTTCAAAAGGCGAGATGGGAAGACAGACGTCAGTCTCACGTGTGCACAGGAAATTCACAGCTGTAGTCTTAGTGTGGTTAGCTTAGCTTAGCATAAAGACAATGGAGAAACAGCCTCTGTCCAACTAAAGCTCATCAACACGTTGTACCGCATTTGTTTAATCTGCACATAAAAACAAAAAATTTGCACTTTTGTTTCATTTTAATTTAAAAAGCTATGGCTTGTATCTCGAGCATATGCTTCAAAGAAACAACAATTTTAAGTACTGATATTAATTATGAGAAATAAACATAGCTGCTGGGACAAAAAGGAACCAGACACCACACACATATGTTCTGACATATTATTTAATTACATCAAATATGAAAAACAGACAGTTTTTCTTTTTACAACTGAAAAATAAAAAAAAAACTGTTAGAAAAACTTTACAATTAAGCTGTTTGCGGTTGTTATAGCAACATATTGATTTTTTTAGCCACTTCCGGTTCCCATAGAGATGTTGTGGCTGAGTAATGATGACAGATTGAGTTTACAAACAACTGCTGACTTCGTAGTTGTTGACAAACAACTTATGGCATGTGGTGACTTGTCAACAACTCACTGCCTAAGCCTTTTATTCACTATTCGTCATTAGTAGCAGCTGGAGTCGGGGAAGTCGTGTTTCTGAACTGTGGGAACACAGGGATCATTTACAGCCTGAGCAGTGAAGCTGGTTCACAACAAACACATTTAACCTCATGAAAAAGCAGTTTTGTCATTGCACAGGGGGTTTTCTGCTCAAAGCTTGTTAAGCATGGGGAAAAACAAGGGTTGAATGTGAAGGGACTGCTAAGTGACGGCGGTTTGGTTCAGGGCTGAAATGTCTCAGGAGCAGAGCATCATGGGATAGGATGGACGGCGGGTTTCCAAAGTTATGTCTGGACAAGCTTTAATGTGACAACTAAAGTGGGAAGACAAATGACGTGGAAGTGTGTTTGATAAAATATGTTAATTATCAATTTTCAATCCTTTTTGCTTTTTTTGATAAAGTTTGAAAATACAAACACTGGGCAGAGCTCATTCCCCCGTGAAGGTTTTCTCCTTCAGATAAAGTTTAAACAGATTTATCCTGGACACAAATTATAGCTCAGCTCACGCTGAAGCCTTAAAGCCATAGCATAAACTAAACTCAGTCTCCGTGGACAACGTTTTGGTGTCAGACCAAATGTCGGGCAAGTTTATTAACGTTCAATTATCTGTGAACACTGGAATCATCCTCGTAGAGTCAGGGGTCACTGTTATGTGTGTGTCACTGCTCGTTCTGCTGTGTGTCTGTGATGGTGGACACGGCGCCCTGGCCCTTGCTGACGTCACTGATACACGCCCACTGACCGTCCATCGACTCCTTCCACAGTGTGACCTGCAAAATAACCACACACACGATCACGAAACAGCATGTTAATGTCCTGCAATTAGGTTCCACGGGCACAATACAACAGCTGCAATGAATGAGTTTGGCTATTATATTCATATTTCATTTGGTCAAAAAGTCAAAAAAATTGGAAAACACCCCAAAGAAACCGTCTGAAAACTAAAATATTTCATTTAATATAAGATGGTTGATAAGTAACAAGAAGTAAAGAAAAACCAAATGAGGTCTGAGGTCATTTAGAAACAGCCTCCACGATCCAGCCAGAGCACTGACAGGTTGTTTCACGCTGTAAATCGTCCCTCTCACTGTGTATCCTCTAGAAAACAAAGTGAAGGGCTCAGAATCAACGTTGTTTGTTTATATTGGCATCAGGGTTAAAATAACAGTATTCACTGGATTATTGTTAAGATGCTTGATAGATTACTTAAAAAAAATGACTGAAGTGCAAATAGTCTATCGCTGTAATATTGAGATTGTGGACACCTTTAAATACCTGGGGGTCCACCTCAACAACAAACTGGATTGGACTGAAAACACTGATGCCCTGTACAAGAAGGGCCAAAGCTGCCTCCACTTGTTGAGGACACTGAGGTCCTTTGGTGTGCGGGGGGCACTCCTTTGGACATTTTATGATACTGTGGTGGCATCTGCTGTTTTTTACCCTGTTGTGGTTTGGGCAGGAGGGAGCACGGTCAGGGACAGGAAGAGACTAAACAAGCTGGTCAAGAGAGCTGGTTCTGTCCTGGGCTGCCCCTTGGATTCCATCAAGGAGGTGGTGGACAGAAGGATGCTGGTAAAACTAACATCCATCATGCATGACCCCTCCCATCCCCTGCACCACACAGTAGAGGCTCTCAACAGTTCCTTTAGCACGAGACTGTTACATCCCCAGTGTAAGAAGGAGCGTTACCGTAGGTCGTTCCTCCCCACAGCAATCAGACTGTACAATACATCACTACAGGGATAAGCTAGGTGAAAGTATGAGGGACTATGTAATAATCTACTGAGGTGCAATATTCAGCTCCTGGGGGTGAAATGAATTGTAAACAGGCTCATGTGTAATATCTTGTTCCTGATCTCTCTCAAATACTGTACATTGCCCTGCTTTAGGGATTTTGGAGTAGTTCCTCAGAGATCCTTAAGGCTGAAACACAGGTTTCTTTCCCCCATTGAGGGATCAACTGTGAGAGTAATATTCGATTGTTCTTGATTTCCTGGTTGTTTTCTTGATTCCTCTCAATACGATTCTTTCTTGTCTTGTTCCTAGGTATCTTTTTTGACTTGTGTCTCAGGGACAAACTGTGGGAGGTCTATTCTATATTTACTAAATACTATATTTTTGTTTGGTTTTTCGGGTACCTGGATCTAGTTTTCTCAAGATGTGTGGGGTGTTTATTCTTATGGTGTCATGTTGTTTTGTCCTTTACTGCTGCTGGAACACTGGGATGTCTCCACTGTGGGGTCGGTAACGTCCTACCTACCTACCTACCACAGCAAACACTAAATACAGCTGTGAATGAAACCTTAAAATCAAAGTGTCTCTGGACTTAAATTAAAGGCGAACCAGCAAGTTTGGTTAAAAAAAACAAAAACCTGTAGGTTATGTGGCCTGTACTGAAAAATGTGGCAAGGGGCTGAGAAACAGCAGACATATGAGCATCTACCAGGACACAGTTTATAATCACCTACATCCCGTCGGATACGACTTAAAACCATGAGAGGAACTTTGGGTCTTTCTATCTTGACAAATGCAACATGAAATACCTAAAAAATAAAAGTACACTCAAGCTAAAAGACCAGCTTGTTTTATGATTCACATCAGTAAATGTAGAATCATAATGAGATTAAATACAATAAAACAAAGTGCACGCGCGCACACGCACACAAACACAGGGCCAGTATGTGTGCCTGCACTTCACCTTGTTGTCTCCTCCAGAAACAGCCAGTATATTTCCAGTGATGGACCAGCTGACGTGCCACACAACATCATTGAACTTATGCAGCAGTTTGGCCGTCCAGGTGTTGCCTGCAGGGTCGTCACACGTCCAGATGAACACACGACCGTCCTGGAAGGAGGCGACACATGAAACTGAATGTGACTGTCAGTTCACTTAAGTCTAAAACGTGTTTATTCCACTCAGCTCTGGTGGGATGTAACCTGCAGCCAGTGGCTGGTTTTCTTTTTTTTTTAAACTTCCTCCAGTCATTTTAACTTCTTTGCAGTGCTTTATAAAAGGAGCAATAAAGTTTAATGCAGCCTGTACCCGATAAAAGATCCTGTGTATTTGTAAGTTGAACCTTTTTTTTAGCTAGTCACAGAAACAACAAATGTTGGAGACAGTGGATCACTCACATTTTTTGGGAACTGGTGTGATGTGTCAGAACAAATCCTAAAGTCCCTGTGAGCTGTGTGGTTCTTTATTTCTGTAATTTCTCTAAACAAAGTGTAAGAGGACATGACGATGATGATGATGAATAAAAATATCCTAAAGCAAGAACTAACACATATGGAGAGTGGAGGAAAATGAAAGGATATTATACAAGAGTGAAACTGGCGACATCAGGATGGAGCTAAAATAAATCTACGTACAGGACATGAACAGTGGCTGAAGATATTCCCCGACTGTGTTTTTTGTTACCATCACAGTTTAATGTGGCAAATATGTGGAAAAAAACATCTCACCTGGGAGCAGCTGGCGATGGTGCTGGTGGGAAGACCGATAGAAGGAGCCCAGCCGACGTCTCTCACCCAATCACTGTGCGCCTCCAGCTTCTGGTCCTCCTTCCACTGACCGTCCTCCTCCCTGGAGGCGGGAAGAGACAGTAACAATCAAACCACAGAACGTCAGCTCCTCAAACCGTTATCAGACAGAAACATTACTTCCTGTAGTGACAAATTTCTGGTCACTGCTCTAGAGTGTTTGTGTCTTCCCAGTGACTCC